CCTGAGAGATGTGGAGCCTTGTTTCCACATGATCAATGGGACTGTGCTGTTTTGTGAAAGCGCCAGCCTGGCCCTCCATTTCTTGTCCTGTGAAAAAAGAACAGCAATATCCACCCTGCATTTTAAGGCTGCTGTCCTGAGATTGTCTCATTCCTCCCATAGAACTTCTCCTTAGTTTATATCAATAGGTAGTGCATATTGTCTATAAATGTTTGAAAAGGACTAGAAGGGCCAGTTTTAACGCAGGAACTCACTGCTTCGACATCTACTGGTCTCATTTTTGTTCTCAGCCTGAGTTCTGTCATGTATTTTCCTGAGGAGAACAGTGGATGATATTCTTAGAGCTGTCCCATGCTCCTGTCTCCTTACCACGCTGTATCTCCCCAGCTCCAGCCCTCTGTTTTTGACATGCCACACCAAATCAAGATAACCACAAAGCAGAGAGGAGAAAGCCAACATTAAAACAATTCCTGCACATACAAAGTCAAAACTGTGACTGATCAACTTTCTCCTCCTCAAAAGAGCAATAGAGAGATCAAGCTGAAATACGCTCTAGGTGCACAAAGAAGTTGCTCCAAACCCAACACCAGCCAGAAATAAAAGTAGCTGCCTGTGAATCACATACAAATGACAGCATAGGGATGGTGACTTAAAGGATAAATTAAAGTGTATATACACCAGTAGGTGCGTTTTGGCTTCATTTCTGTGCTTTTTGTCAGTAACCTGTAGCCTGATGCATTACCTTAGCTGGCCCACACAGATGTTACTGCTTGAGGCTATTTTCTCTCTTCCATCCAAAGGCAGAACACATCCAGCAGCAGGTCAATTTTCTCAGCTTCTACAGGGCAAAAAAAAAAAAAAAAAGAACAGTTGTCTTGAAACTACATCTTCTAATCAACACTGCAGTGTGACGCACTGTCTCCTCATCAGCAGCACGGCTCAAGATACATGATGACAGGTAATTTTTGATTCAGAAAGAAATAGGCTGTGTGCTGTCATTGTCAGGAAAGGACAAGGATGTTCAGCTGCTGCAATGTATTCCTAAAACATTCCAAAGGGCCCCTTTCTGCCAAAATTTTAGGAGCCTGATTTAATATTCCCTCTGTTTTGACTTTATAAAGGGTTGGGAGGAAGTCTGCCGTATTTCAACAAAATTAGAAGCCAAAAGGAAAAAGAATTACCTGTTTCTAGGGAGAGAAGGTGCAATGAGGTACTTGAATCAAAAAGTAACTTAAGTTCAGCAAAAAAAAAAAAAAAATGCCTGCTAATCCACAGAAACAATGAGAGTCTAAAGGAAAAGTCTGCTTTCTTTTAATCACTGTAAACCAATCAGAAACAACTGCTGGCTAATGTTGTTAGAATAAGAGGCTACTCTGAATTGCTTACAGTAGCTGCAGCAGAGCATGCTCTGAGCTTAGCTCTGCCCTAGCTCCTTTTGGTGTTCCCCAGCAGGGAAATTTTGCTTAATGCCGTTTACATTTTAAAGGCAACTGCTATTGTAAATCGATTGCAAGAAGGGCAGAAAAAGGAAGACCCTGGAATGGTGGGTGTTCATTGATGATACTACTTCCAACATTTAAGTTTTYTTAACAGTTTAAGTAATCTCTAGAAACATTTGTTTTGAAGGGGAAGCTGTACCCTTTGGCTTACAAACCAGGCGCTTTGACTACCTTAAGGATCAATTGAACCTTGGTGTTCTATGGAGGCTGATAAAAAGAGTTGCAAGAAGCACTTCGCTGGGTCAAGTTAACCTAGCGAGGATAAGCTATAAAAAGGGTCAAAGAAAGTTTTAAGTGATTGTAAGGTCAAAATACATTAAAGCCATCAAAGAGAAATAGCTGCTGAATAGAACAGAAAACTTAGCAACTCGTGAATGCCTTTCATTACGCAGAATAGCACACATTACATGTGATGCCCTGTGCAACACCTATGTTTTATCTTAACACCCACAGCTGCTTGTTACCTTTATCACAATCACTCCTCACCTAAAATACAACATATAATCATGCTTTTCCTTTAATCTGCATTATCACATCCAACATAGGTTTACCTTATCTAACTCAATAGTGCTGGAAAACATAAGACCACTGAAATGCCTTTTCTGGTTTTTAAACTGTGGCCTCCACAGCCTTCACAGAATTGAGGAAGTTGATTGCTTATAAAATCCTGTGCTTCAGTTCTTAGTGGCAGCTTGGAAACCCTGATGCTGACAGCAAGGGGGTGGATTTCAGAGCTACTGACTGCACCCAGGACATTTGGATAGCACCCACCTCCAGGGATCCCCCCTCTCACATTGGAACAAAGGGAAAACTCGAACATGCTCACAGCAGTTTAATCAAGGGTAGTCCCCAAGGCAGACGGTAAACCTGTCAAACCAGTGCTGTCTTCGGGCMAAGCTCATCTGCAGTTTTCAGGGGAGGGGGAAAAAAGAAAACTGACTCTTTTCAAAGTYGTGCCCGTGCCTGGGAGAAATAGGGTAATTCGATTTGCTCTCCTAGTGTCTGATAATTTATTTAGTTTTCCTGTGAGAGGCTCTAACGTTTTTGTTTGCTATTTTGAAATCAGAGCTCCTCCACAGAGGCCAAGCAGTGGGACTAGTAGGGATCGGAACTAGTTATAATCAACAAACGCTGAAGGCTGTCTTAGGGGCATTGAAATGGAATTGTGTTTAAGAAAGTTAAAGGAAGAGAGAATAAGGTAGAGATGTCAGACAGAAATAAATAAATAAATAAATAAATAAATAAATAAATAAATAAATAAATGGATAGATATCACTGCATTCATTTACATAAAGGTGCCTTGTGAGTTCTCTATCTAGAGGAAAAAGGATCTGCACAAGAGGGCTCCTGCCCTTCCGAGCATGTGCAGCCCTGATCCTGCACTCCCCACTTAAGCGACTCTCTTAGTTATCTCTGAATTGAACTTCTCTGGATTGAAGTTATTGCCTAAGTGAGGAAGGTCATAAGCAATAGAACAGTGTCAAAGTGCTATACTTCCATAATTACCTGTTCATTTTGAGGGCAGTTAAACAAACACTCARACAAATCCCAAGCTCAATATCAGTTTGAACTGTTATGTTTTACYCAAAGCAAAACTGGATCCCAAATGTGATTCAGTTCTGCTGAATTACAATGCAAAGTGAGATGGAACTATTTCCCTTATAAACAAACCCCAATTCAGAACTGAATCAAAAAACCTCTTGGTTTAACTCCATGTAATTGAAAGAAGGTCAAAAAGTCTGATATCAATCAACATAAAGCAACTAAGAAAATCTTAATATGTAATATTTAGTAGAAGGGGAAAATAACAGAGAAAATCAAAGGAACAAAACCAAGAAGGCCCTGTGGAACATGTATTATTGTGCTTCTTTTTATTTCTTTCTTGACTTCACTTTTTTAATGGGGGAGAAAGACAGTGCCCAAGATTCACAATGTCTAACAAACTGAAAGATATACAATATTTCGCATACGACCTCAACATCACCTCCCTGGATTTCCATAGCATGATTTGGGGAGAACAAGTTAGATCTGGGGACCTTATCATCAGTGAGTATCATAAAGTTATCTGAATTCTAGGTTAAACATTATGGTTTGCTGTCATCCTTTCTAAATYCTGAACACTTCAGCTATTTTATAATTGGAACAGGAAATCAAATAAAATACACTACAATATTGCAGGTTAAAAGCCTTCACTCACGATGTAGGCTTAAAAGAGGCAGGGAGGAAGGAAGAGTAAAAGAAAAGATTAAATGATTTCAGAGTTAAGGTTGCCATTACACTTAGAACTCGAGTAGGTTTTAACTACTSGTTGCAGTACTTTTTGACAGCTCAGCAAGAATTCTAGATCCCTGAGAGCCTTAATAATCAGAGGCCAGGATTATAGCGCGGATCAGGAAAGGTGGGGAAAGAAGGAGAAAGAGGATGACAGTTTAGGGGCTTTGATTCAACCAGGCCTTACAGAGGTGGGTAAGTTCAACCTGTCCGAGGGCAGGGCACTATGTTGGGAGATCCAAGGGTCCTGGCACAGAGCAAAATGCAAACACAGCAGCCAGCTATGGGCAGCAATGCAGCTCTAAAAGCTGGCAGTGCAGTAAAGAGATAGGGCAAGTGTAAAAGGCCAATAACTCCTATTTCCACTACATCTGCATGATCTCATTTCTGAACTGCCCAGTTTCTAATGGTTCCTTCCTGCAGTGCTCATAAGAGGCAAGGAGAAATAGCAGGCAAGGACTGCAGGCACCCGATTAGAGCATCTACCTATATCCTATATACCTATATGTTATAGTGATGGAACTCTGTGCTTTGAGATTGAAGATGTTTGACTTGTCATATACTGAGATTTTAGTGTTGGGTTTTGTAAAATTACTTAACAAAGGCAGCATCTAATATGAGACACAAAAAAATGTCAGATTTCTGATGAAATCRAACAAGAAATCGTCTAATTTCTTCCATTTAAAAGACAAACATTTTACTCAGATGAAAGAATATAGTGCAAAGGTAAGAAATAAAAAATAATCACGCAAAAATGCCACAGACTCATATAGATCTGTTTAGTCTTTAAGCTGGATTGAATGCAAGAACATTCCCAAAATAGTGTGAAACCAATCTATTCTCTGCAAAGTCATTTCTTATCCAAATGAACATTTGAGAATATCAGATGTTTCCAATCAACAAGTCAGAACTTTAACAATGATCTGGTCTGTCTACAGCCATTACAGAAATTTGACTTGTTTTTTGAGAGTCTTTGTAAATAATGCCTCCCTCATGTCTCTGGTGGAGCATTATTGGAGATTACTTAGGAGGGCCTCCTCACAAGCCTCAGCACACGGACGAYGGATTTATGGAAGCTATCAAGCCTGAGTTTCAGATTTTCAAATCCAAATCACTTTTTTTTTAATTTTCTATTCACTAGCAATTCAAGCTTATGAAAAGGTTTAAGTTTCTAGCAAAGTCCTCCTCCTTTCCCAACCACCATGTTCTTCCTTTGATATATATCTGCAGGTGTCTGTGATCCCATGTGCATGAATGGAGGGAAGTGTGTCAGCCCAAACGTCTGTGACTGCCCATCAGGTTGGAAGGGAAAGCACTGTAATAAACGTAAGCATCTCTGCTGCCTATCAGACAGGTTGTTGTTTATTACTTAAGCCACTCGTCATCTATTGTAATCTTCTTTTAATATTACAAAGCAATAGAGAGAATAGAATGTGCTATTTCAGCAGTTTGAAGAAAAGCAATCTTGTGTACAGGTAGCACAAAATGCTATAAATATTTGAGACTTGCAAAGGAAAAAATGTGTGTGTAGGGAAATCTGGTTCGGCTTTATGCAACTGTTTTGTACATATTTATGAAAATTCACTTGTACAGTATTAAACTTGAAATATTGATTTTCTGTTTAATATAAATAACATATTTTGTTCTATTTTATAAATAAATGTCATATATTTCAAAATACAAAACTATATAAAACGTACTAAACGCCTTCCAAATTGATATACCGCCAAGGTCATCAGATATATTTTGGGGGGGAATATGTTTTTACTCTGTAATTTTACCATATCTGCTTACAGTTTACAYAAATATATAATTAAAATCCTGCTATCCTGAAATATTTTCAAGGAGCATTTTTCCTTATGTGGTTATTCATTATCATGATGTTGACAGATGAAATGGATAAATTTAGAATCAAGATGACATGCTATATATAAACYCAATTGAAATACTGGCTTTTTACCCTTTGAGTCCTAGTGGTAAATACAGTTTCAGATTCAGTGTTTGGAATCATAATATACAACTTCTTAAATTCCGCAGGAAGTCTGTGTCTCATACAAAAAAAAATATACATTAACTCTTTCAGTATTTCTGAATGAATAATATATACAATAAGCATAGTGAATTCTACTATGATTCTATTTATTTAGAGCATACAACACTTGCATATAGCATATGAATGCTACCATAAAGAGGTGAAGAACATTCTTAGTTGATAGCAAGCATCTGGAATAGCAAAGCTGCTACTAGTAAAGAAGCAGACAGCTATCAATGACAGTAACTTAAGGATAAATAAATATAAATAAAACTCTAAAAGTTTATTCTCTGATAAAGAGAGCACATTAATTTATCTTGAAGTCAGTCAGATGACCTAAAACTTAAYGTGTTCATACGTCACTCTTTAAGACAGATCTTGAAAGCCGGTATATGTTGTGTACATCTTTTCATATGTTCCCTGTCAACCTGTACAGCTGTTTGCCTGCACAAGTGTCTGAACGGTGGCGAATGCACAGGGCCAAACATCTGCGAGTGCTCTGGAGGATGGACAGGGATGCGGTGCCAGACTCGTAAGTGCTGCTTTATGGACTGCTGCTGCAAAGCCACACAGAGTGCACCAGTCACATTTATACATTATGCTTTCTACCCTGTTTACATTATACGTCAACTCTAAATGATTAGCATCTAAACTCTACTTCCTATTTGTCAAAACTGTCTTATGCTGTGACTAAAACTACTACATTCAAAGACACTTCAGGACTCAATATGAATGAGAGAAAGAGAATTGAGTCATCATTTATTTTGGCTGATGCTGAGTTTGGCTTGTCAGACAAAAATAGCAGACTTTAAGCTATGACTTCAAAACAAGGTAAAAAAGAGAGGTCAGAGACAAGAGGAAACGGATTATTCCAATCTGCATGTCCAACTGGAATTAAGGACATAAAGCAAAAATATGTACTTGTAACCCAAGAGCCTGATCCTGTAAGTGGTGTGCATTAGGGACCACTGAGATGGAGGAAAATACTTGCATTGGGAGGAACTGGAAGGCCTGGAATAGGAAGAGATCCATTACTGACTAATGCATCACTTGAGTTTGTGGACATTCCTAGTTTTAGACTAAGACGGCACAAGGAAAGGCATAGGAAGGCAGTATTCTTCTCACACTCACAGACTCCTAGGTCTCACAGAAAACTCAAATAATCACCAAGTATTTGGGATTTCTCTATTTTTTTTTAATAGAAAGGGGAAATACTAGTGTCAGAGAGCAGATGATTGGTTCTTGTAATGCTGCTGTAGGGCATTCAGATTGAGGCAGGGAAGAAGCAGTAAAAACATCCTCCTCATCATGCCCACAGGTGTTAGGTATGAAGGAGATTTTTCATAGAAGTGTAATGCAGGAAAGCAGGTCTGTGCTCCAGTATTTTAACATGGGACTCTATCCAGCCAGATCTAGAATTCAATTAGAAATATATATTTATCTGTCTAAACATTTTGAGCTTCCTGAGTGCCCCACTTTTTCAGAGAGTTGCTGACTTTCGTCAGCGCTCTGGCCCTGATGAGCAGCTTGCGCGCAGCAGTGACGAGGTCTGCGAACAACCCCTGGTTAACGAGAGCATCCTTTGTTCTTACTCCCATATGGCTCTGGCCCGCTTTCTATCTGCAGGCACCACACAAGCAGGAGGCCAAATCCATGCAATCTGCCAGGAGCAGCGGCATCCGAGCACGGAGGCACTTGGCTCATCACACCATTCCTCTTTGCAAAGTGCTTTGTCCAAAATTTTCGCCCTCAGAGCTTTCTCTGTGCTCTGCATCCTCTTTCTCTTTGTGTGTGGATGATCAAATTTTCTTCATTATACCATCCACAACAAGGCCATGCCCCAGACTTGTGCCACTTTATCTAACGACTTTGGCTGTTAAATTTAATAATACAGCAAAATGTTCACATTAAGGCATACAAAATTAACAGCAACACGTCATTCAAGATTGTATCATTGTGTGTTTCTAAATAATTTCAGCTTTCTAATGCAAAAGTTAGTTTCATTCCACAAGTGAATATCCAGATAACCTTTCCCAGTAATCACTGAACCTTCTCCACAGTCTACCAGCAGCTGGGGGTGGTTGTGTCTTTGTTTCTTGTTTGTTTTTTTTCTTTTTTTCCAGGAACAGAAAGAGGTTAGATAGTCCTAGCTTTAGCTATTTAGTTCAGAGTCTAACCCACTTGCTAACTCCTGCATTGAAAAACATCATCAAACATCTTGAAAAAAATGTTTGAAGACAACAGTAACTACAGTTGCCACAAAAAAAAAAAAAACCCTCTTCTTAAGACTTCTCTAAAACTAGAAAATGTAAAGCACGATGTTCTCTAGTTTTAGGTCTTGAATAATTAATATTAAAACTTCTAAGTGCAAAGCATGACTCCCTGCATTTCCAGCCAGCTTTCACTAGAGGAATCCATCCAGAGATCCATACCACAAGTGATGGGTGGTGATTCAACATTTCACCTGGTAACTCCACTGACATTAATCTAGGGCAGGTTTGCAGTTTGGTTTTATTTAAGATTAGCACCGTCCAAATCTGAGTGACTGTCTCATTTTACAATTGCTCAGAGAAACCTGGACTTTGTTACCAGACGTACACATCACAGGTGTCTTTCAACTGATGGATAAAGGAGTTCAGGTGCATTATAGAGATGCAGTAATACGAGCAAAAAAAAATGCTTTTTTTGAAATATGTGTAATGAAATTTCATTTCAGTTTAAAGCAGTGAATTTTAAATTTCTCAATACTGTTCTTAGTACAACCAGTCAAAGTCAAAGCAACACTCCAGTAATGTCTGTGCGAGCTGTCTCCCAGTTTCACCAGTGTCTGGCTACCATTACACTGCAGAATTTAGCAAGGATAAATGCAGGTAAAGGGACTTTTAAGGGCTATTGTTGAAGGAGTCATGGATAAAACAATAGCCCTATCAGACTGTAAAAAAAAAGGAGGTCAATCAACAGAACAGTATTCTTCCCTAGCCATCTGCAACTGCACTGAATAACTTCTGAAAGAGAATCAATAAAATAGGTCATTTGTCCCAACAAATAAGGTATATGGTGGGMTACACACATTATCTTTAATAAATAACTACGATTTTGATTGTCATATTTTAAGGATTAATTATAAAGCTCCGAACTGTACTGCAAATTTTCTGAAATTACCTTTGAGAAAGTCAGGTTAAAAGTTACGTTTTTTGAAATTTTCAGCACACCTTAACTACAGAAAGTAGCAGCTTCATAGATTAGGACATATCTGTTTCCACTATAAGATTTTTTTCTATTTGACTCTGGCTTTCATTACAGCAGCACAGATGTTCTAAAAATTCCCTCCTTGAAAACACAGAAACTGTATCCTAAGATCACCATGTTTTGCCATTACAGATTTCCTACCAATTTTAGATTAGATACCCATTCTAAAGCTCCATTCCTGTGGCTTCTCTCTACCTCCTGCTGTGTTAACTCACATCTTTTTCTTGAGCTAGAAAAGAAACATTAGACCAAAGTGGTGAAGACCTGATTCTGCAGTCTGATTCCCTTGACAGATTTAGCTAAAACATAACCCTAAGTAAAGTCAGAAGGCTTCTGGCCAGAGATGTAAGTCTCTTGTTAAGGATCAGCATGCCAGATCAAGGTATAATTCTAATAATTAATTATAAAGTATAAGAAGGGAGAGTTGTGAAGCATCTTTATCATTAAAATTCATGCTGCTGTCTTCAGTTCTAATATTATTGAACGCATACTGGCTTCTCATTTGCCCTTCAGAATATCTTTACTTTATTTGCATGTTATAAGTGTCAAGCTTACAGCCTTACAATTCTCTCAACATTCTTGTTCATTCCCTCTCTGTCTTGAACATCTCAAACAATCTGGCTTCTAGTTTTTCTATGTAACCCTTTCAAACCTTAAAAAAAAAGAGAAACCTTTAAAAAGATTGTCATTTGCATGCAAATTGTAGCTCTGTTCTTTTAGCACTCAGGGGTAAATCTGTTTTTGTAATGGGCATTTATTGATTATAATTTTAACATAAGCTTAGCTTATTAAGTGACTTTGCTGAATCTGTATAGGATAATGCAGAAATAGTCTGTGTCATTCTTACCATTTAGTGGCTTAGCATCCCTTGTAAATACATTTATGAAATATTCATTTGAATTTCAGCTATGTTATTATCATCTCTGATTTCAATTCCAATTTTCTTCCAAAATGTTCTTTAACTTTTCTCCTAACTGAGCTCTTTTTTTTTTTTTTTTCTGAGGATGGTGGCAGGAAGCAATGAGTAGAGAGGGTGAGAAAAGACGTTTACCTGAGAGTAAAGGAGGAAAACATTTCCCTCTTTTTTCTCTTTGTTGGCATCACCGGAGAAACAAAGAAACTACAGATGGAAAAAAAGGGTTTTTTAATGATAACTAATTTAAAATGAATTCTGCCAAAGCATACCAGACCACCCCTAGTTATTAGCTTCTGAAAATCTTGCTTAAACAATACAGCATTTTTTACTTTTTAAGAAATAGCAGAAAAAAACCAACTAGTTCTCATGCTAGGAAGGCAAGTCAAGGTCATTAGCCTGGCAGCAGATAAGAAGAGTATCTGAAGGTTATCAGCATGTCCAGGTCTCTGCATGTCTTTGTTCTGGACATGGTAAAGGTCAGTAGCTGTGAAACAGGATAAATCTCAACGGCTGACTCATAGGAGCAGTGGTTTGCCAGGGCATTCACATCCTCTCATTTTTAATATATACAGATTGCCTGTAAGTCTGGTTCTTTACCTCTTTCCCTTAGCTGCAAGGCTTGAGCTTAACTATATATATTTACATTTTAATATTCTTCCATATGTTAAAATCATTACCCACTCCATGAGGCTTAGCAGGTATGATAAGGTAAGTTGGTGAGGTTGGCAACACATTTTTCAACAACATGGTAGACAAAAAGCATTAAAAAGTTTCAGATGATACTTAAATAAGTATAGATAGGAATTGTTATGGCAAAATGACAGCTTTCCCCTGGCTTTCAAGATCACTATAACAATTCCTGTAACTTTTCTCTGAAAATGATATTTGAATGGCCTAGGATCCCACAATGGGTTCTCTGAAGTCACTGGTCTAGCTCATCTCTCTCTCAGACTCCAGACCTTAGGCAAAGAATTTACTTATATATATGTATATATATATACTTATATATATTTACTTATATATATACATTATATATATATATATATGTCGATATATATCCATCAAAATCAGAATCTAAGACTAACCAACTCAAATTCTGGAAGCTGCACCTGCATCCCTTCAATGTGTTGAAGTTTATTTTCCATGGAACGATTTCTTGTAGTGATAAATTACAGCATCCCAAATCTGATGGCTTATTTTGCTTAGATACAATAATAGAAGAGATGTTACCAGAACACAGACATAAATATACTTTATTTTTAAATCTGTCATAAAGGTGCATAGTAAGAGACTTGCTATATATGCCCACCAGACAAGAAAATGAAAGAATCCAGCTGCTGATTCACACCTAACCGATTTTGAAGCCATTGAGTTTGACTCCTGCTAACTAGGAAAGAATATTCTGGTAATATTTATAGAAAGTTTAACTCATGAGATCTAATTAAAATAATATGACGTGTGTGTTCTTCTTGATTTGATGCCCTATGAATTAGCTGTTCTCTCTGTGCCAAAACAATGTCACAGCAATGCAAACTGCTAATGAGGATGAAAAATTGGCTAAGGTTTGAGTAATTCAACTCATTACTTTCCATAGCTATTTTTTTTTTCTTAAAAAGGAGACTGATTCTTTTATTAGCAGAAAATCTTCAAATGGATGGGCCTCTGTAAGTACCCTGGTATTGTAAATAACGTTAACAAAAAAATGGATCCTTTATACTTAGAATGAATAGCCCATTAGTGATGGTGCAGGGCCACGCAATTGCCTTTCCTGTCACCCTGGTATCCAGATATGTGAAGTACACAGTTCATGAAAACCTCCCTTTTATTTATTGTGACGCCAGCACCTTTGGTGGTGCATATTTAATGTATCTTTTCATCTCAAATAAAGAAAGGATCTTTTAATAGCTCTTATTTTATTTCAATTGGAACAAAATAAAATCAATTTTGGCACAAATCTGACCAACTATCACTGCCCAGAATATATCTTGGCTTTCAAAACAGATCCATTTCCTACTGAGCTAAGGTGATTACCCTGGCACAGTCTTCTCTTTTCCCATCACTTAGAAGAGGATAAGAATAAAGAAAGAAAATTCTAACATAACAGACACACAGGCATGAAAAATAGTCAAAGGAGGCAAATCAAATAGGCATAACTTCTAAGTCCTAAATATTTTTCCTAATTACCCTTTCCTCTACCATATGAACATGGTCATGTTTCCTCATATCATATTCATTCATATTTCTATCCTTATTATGAACCTTACAGTAACTAAAAATAAACGACTTTTTCTTTCTTTTGTAGCATTTTGTGAGCAAAAATGTCTGTTTGGAAGCAGGTGCATAAGACCAAATATCTGTGCTTGCAGAAGTGGCTATACTGGTTCAGCATGTGGAAGAAAGGTAAGGTTTGGGTCAGAAACACTGGATTCTTGTTTTAAGAGGAACAAAAATAACTGAATGGATCTAAAACAGTTAACAGGAAAATGAACTAAGGTCATCATATGAAAGATGTAAATAAGGTTATAAAGTAGTTTAAAGGAAAGTTACTTGCTGATAAGCTGCTAATCTAACACCGTATCCATGTTTCATATAAAGTCTTCACTTAGGGTACTATTTTATACTTSAAGGAAAAAATTCCACAAAAGTTGTGTCTACTTCAAGAGGGTCAGCCTTATATACTTCTTCTTCCCAAACCCACTGATCACCTGGACAGTAAACTCCATTAAAAATGCCCTGGTTGTAGCCCAAGCCAAGCCCAGAAGCCTTTCTGAACTACAAGGCCCATCCTACCGTACCCCACACCATCTGTACCATGTATCCCATATATCCACTGCCCCATTTTATATTCCCTGCCCCATTTTATACACCCAYCGCTTTCCTAACTTATCCTCTTGTTTGCAGTACGAAATTGCAGGCCTTGCACCCAGGCTGCTGGCCAGTAACAGTCACTCTTGGTCATTGCTCTGACAGCTCTTCCTTTTGCCGTAGGAACAAACTTTTTGTGTTTTTTTTCTAATTTTATTTTTTAAATAATAAATTAAAGCACTGCTATGCTTACCCAGGACATGCTCTGTGGACCTAGATCTAAGATCACTWAGGCAAAAACTTCCTTCTGTCCTGTCTCCTGGGCCTGGGCCTTGCACAGTGCTGGTAGCTTGAACTCCTAYTCCTGTTCTGAGGACTGTTTTGCTTCATATCTCACACCCTGTTTCTGGGACATTCTTCTCACCTCCACAGTCACAGGCATTAAACACATTTTATACATTTGCCACTGTGAAGGGGGACATTTTAAAGAAGTAGAGTCTTCCTTCAGCTCAAACTGAACTCCACATGGCTGGGCAGGTTACCCTGTCATTTATCTATACTGAAAGGCTGAGAAAAAAAATCAACATCTTTTCATTTCTATTACATAATGCAATGAGAGAACCACAAAAATCCATTCAGATGGTTACTCTATTCTATTAATGATAATTAGATTTTAACATCAAAATTAAATCCTATATGGATTTTCTTAACAAGTACATTCTCAGATTGAATTAGAGCTCCTACATCAATAGTAAAATACAGCAGATGCAGATAAGATGAGTAAGTGCTGCAATTTTCTCTCTATAAAAAWATCTATTAAATAGCTTGGCTGTAGCCTAGGAAAATGTGTGTATTTCCTGAAACAATTAATAGAAGAAGACCAAATATAAACAGGAATAAGTGAAGATAAACTAGAACCATTGTTCACAGGTGTTTATATTCAGAGGACTTGCATGGGTCTCTATGGCAATGATTAAGCTCTCTGTTTTTAAGATTGTTTGAAGCAATTTCAGATCATAAGTGAAATACTGATTGGTTGCACTTCCACAAAACTGTTTTGCTTTGATGTGAAGACGGAAAGGTTCTGAGTAAAGAGAATTAATGTGTTTCCTTCAACCTGTGATACTGTTTTAGAGCTAGAATCCAAGTTAGTTCTAAGTGGCATCTCATTTAAATTACTCGGCTTATAGCATGGCATATGAAACGAATTGAGCGAAGAAGACAAGTAATTGTTTCCCCCTTCAAAAAGTTAAAATTATATGATATATTAATAAATAGAAGCTCATTTATCACCATGGTCTAAAATAAAATGTGAGAATAAGAATTCATACTTGTATATTGTAGAAATGTTGAGATGATAGGACTCCCAGCAGTTAATGTATGAGAAAGGATCAGGTATAAGTAAACAATATGAACAGGCTGTAATCATTTTTTTCTCTGAACCTAATAAGTGTCGGAGTTTCACAGTTTATCTAAATAATTTGTTCACGCGTTTGACTACATTGATAGGGCATGTTTTTATTTTTCCATAGCCCCTAATATAATCTCTTGCAAGTTAACCTGATACTACTTGGGGTAAATTTGGTAGATACAGTGAAAAGTTTTCACAGTCCTTTTAATAGCACCTTTTTACATACACAAGATAATTACAATGTCCCCTCCTTGATTTTCTCTCTTTTTCCTTAACAAATTACATGCTAAATCCTTCATTCTATTGGTTTTCTCTGAACTCTCTCCATTGTTTTGCCATCCTTTTTAAAGGGCATTTYTCTACCTGAGTGCCAGTGCTGCTAGAGCACAGTAGCTGCCTCCCTGTTTGGTTACTGACTCTCTTGTTAACAAACTCGCAGAAGAGATTTACATTTTCTGCTACAGATCTGTAACCAACTTCCACGATGTTGATGCTTTAACAGTTATTTCTCATTTGGTACTTGTGCAGTTGACTTCTCAGTCGTAAACACTGTCTTTATTGTCTTTATTTAATTTCATCTTACGCATTTGAAACCATTTCACCCATTTATCAGGAATATTTTTAATTCTAGCCCTGCTGCACTGTCTCCAAGTGCGACATTATTCAAAAATCCCATTGCCTAAGACATTAATGAAAGTAATGAATAGCAGAAAAATCAGGGCCTATGGGTACCCATCTTGACAAGAGAATATTGATAAAATTATTCTTTGAGAATGGGTTCTCAAACAGATATGCCTCCCTACTTATTTAATCTAAAATATACTTACTGTCATGATTGTCTGGAGCATGTCAAAAGTCTCCCTAAAGAAAAAAATGTGTCTGTTGGTGGATACTGACTGACTGTTTTTTTATTACCTCCTTATGCTTGAGGGGCTTGTAAATTGATTATTAATTTCTGTCAGCATCCTTCCAGATACCAACTTAGGCTGCTCAGTTTGTCTTAATTCTTCTTCTTTTTTTTTTTCTTTCTCATCTAAAGATATATATTATGTTTACTCAGCTATCTGTATCTTTTAGGAGTTCTCCAAGTTAATTACTGCTGGTTTAGACACTGCTTCTTTAAGTAAGCTGGCACAAATTCTATGAGGCCCTGGATTATATGCTTCATGTGAAGCCCCTCTTCTACCCGAGGACTTCCCATATGGGGACCCAACGCACAGTAGCAGGCATCTCATAAATTCAAATCCTGGTTTATTGCACAGTCTTTTCACTTGCAAACAGGCCTTAGGTCTGACTTTTCTGAATCTAAATATTCATTTTTCTCCCTACTTTCCCTTGCATTTCTGTTTCCGTGTTAATTCTAATTGTGTTGAACCTTTGGTCACATTTAACCATTCTGTAAAGACTGATGAAGAAAAGGCATGAAACATTTTAGCTTTGCCTGTGTCATCTGCAATTTTCTCTCCCTGCCAGATGTACCACTATTCTGTTCTATGGAAGTTACAACTCACACTTTGCTCTGTTTCTGTTAACAATTTTCAAATATGAGAGCAATACAGTAGTAGTGATATGTAAAATTTGTCCAAAATATAGATTAAATTGGAACAGAACAGCACCTGACACAGGAGGTTCTAGGTGGCCTCACCTGCATTAACTGAATCTTCCCACCCTTTTTTCCTAGAGAAGGAAATGTAAGATAATGGCCATATATCCCATTCAGCAGACTATTTCCTCCTTTGGAATTAATTAACAGGCTTCAATGCAGTCTCACAAAATTGGAGCTAAAGATCCATTTTCAACAGTATTTGTCTCCAGAGTATAGGTTGAAAATACTCAGATGCTAGATATWGAGTGAAAAAAAGGCTGTGCTGCAAAAATCTTCCCCCTAGAAAACCCACAACTGTCTAGCATCTGGTTTTGCCAGAGCCTTTGGAAAGCTGGACAGCCTGTATTCATTTAATCAAGTTATTCCCTTGCACTGCTGTAATCTTCAGTATAGTTCCCTCTTGTGCAGTCAGCCTTCCTGGAAGAAGAATATACATTCCCCCCAATGCTCCATCATCTGCATCCTAGTTCTCACGTTTGTATTGCCAAGTGATTTGCAATTCATTTTCTGACATTTTTGGTTTACTTTGTTATGGAGTTCTGCTAAASAGAGCCTGCCAAAAGCATTCCTCAGAAGGCTAATGAACTTGCTGGGATGGCAATCACTCCCTTCGAAACTGTTGGCGTATTTCTAATTTGTATCGACTCTTTGAGACATGCAGATAATTTAGCAAGTTTCATGACAGACATGAAGAAAACACTCCTGCTGGCTGGTACATTCAGAACAGCCACTGACCACATCAGATCCCCCTCTCCTAGGGGAACCACAGATAGCAAAACTTTAGTTGGAGTCCCAGAGGAGATGAGGATAATCACTGCAATATCTGGACTATAGGGAGTTCTACAGAAAGGTGAAATTCATGTTGCTATTCTTGTCCTATCTGATACCATCATACCTTGCTTGTTTTTCTTTCTCTTTCTAAATAGATTGAAGTAACAGAATTAATTAAGCCAATAGAATTAATTAAAGCTAAACCATGTTATCTAGTTGGATGTAAATGGTAGATAATATTATCCTACAAGCTATCATGATGTTTTATTTTCTCAATAACACTTTAAATATTAATGCATTAGACTTGCTTATCTGTTGAATGTTTATTCTAAGGGATACATGTACTTAGCAGTGTAGCTCTTTCAAGAAAATAATAATTAAAAAGGCAAAACTTTTATCAGTTATTTTTAACACTAGAATTTACCAATAAACATATAGGAAATATGCGATTTGTTGTCTTAAAAATGAAGTTGATGACTGCATGGTAAATATTAAACACACTATTGATTTCCTAAGAACACAGAAGAATGTTTTCAATAAATAATGTCTCATATTTTGCAAAACACTGCTGCAGCTACTAACTTGAACACCAATGTTACCTTGCTCATGTATACATTAAGAGACATTAAACAATAATAGTTAGAGCTGAAATTATACAAGTTGTATTGAATATCTATGAACACACAAGTCAGATAAGTGGAGATTTAGGRAAAAAAACAACACAGATTTAAATATTACTTGATAGATAAGATGTAATTAATATGAAATAAAAAGGGAAAAATTGAATAAAAGTGATATTCAGCTACAACTATAGTGCATGTTAGTCAGACTACTTGTTTATTAAAAGAGAATGTAAGAGTTAATGCTATTCAAGCAAGAGAAATGACTTTGACTTTCTCATCATATTGCAGAATACCTTCCAAACACACACTTGCTTGTATAGTCAGGCTGTGTCCAGAGGCATCCTGAAGCTGGAAGGGCAGGAAAGAAGGAGAAACAAGCAGCCGCCAAAACCACAGGAGTTAGTTCAGACTTGGAAGCATTCAAGGGTTTGGGCTTCCAGGCGTGACCTAACGGATCCACACAGCAATTGCCATATGAGCTGAATTTGTCAGCTCAGGCCTCTGCTAGCCTAGACATCTCCTTATTATGCTCCATTCAGTTGATGACAAAAACTGCAACTGGCCCTTAAAAGATTTAGAGAAATGCGGTATTGTGTAGCAAAATGCAAATCTGCAGTGTGTGTGACTACTTGAGCACATAAGCAGAGAAGCTTGAGGAGAAATAAAATGTTGAAAAATGTTCATTCTCTTCATTTCCTAGGCTATTGCAGATGTGTCTCTGCAGCAAAAGGATGCTTTGCATACTCTCTCCTTAAGTATAAAAGGGACTGCAGAGTATTAACGATTTGAAAATTACAACATACATTTACAACATGATTCGAAAATTACAACATTGTTTATCTCATAAGAGTTTGAAAATAAAACAGGAGGAAATATTTTACCAATAGTCCTCTCAGAAAGGCTTTGGCTTCAGTTAGCATGTTCCTTCACAGGGCGGGTTTGGGATGACTGCAGACAAGTCTGTGCACAAATACCTGCAAATCTCTCTGTGTACAAATACTTGCAAATCTCTATCCTATTTTACCTCTGTGTGTGTGTAAGTAAATGCRCTCCCACATAGCATATACACACACATATAAATCTAGGTATAAATTTTAGTGTAAATATGTACATATATATGTGTGTGTACATATACACAGATGTGGGCACACGCCTACATCTTTATCTAACCCCTAAGTATAAATTGCCCATTTATTGTCCAAAATTGCACACTTTTCCTTACTCTAACTAAACTAGTCTAATCCTCAGCAGGCACTTGCAGAAGTACGCATTCTTTTCATATAAAGTAAATATGCCATATCCTATTCACAAATAACCAACTGCTACCTGGATGCAGCACTATCAGAAGCAAAGGTGTCTGCTATAGAGTCAAACGTGGAAGTAAAATTTGGATACAAGATGCTAATGCCAAGGTTAACATGTCATGTCAAATACAGATACATCAAGATTAAGGAGTACCTTTTGTCTTGTCCTAACTAATAGAAAAATAAATCTTTACCTGCTCTGTAACATGGATTTCAATAAAACTGCCCTATAAAATYTGCTCTTAAATCTATGTGCTAGAATAAAATAAAGCTTCTCATATCATCTATTATCTTGTTTGGGGCTAAAGAAAATTCACTCATGTATTTAAACTGAGATGATATTCGTGGACAACTTCTGCTGTAAGAAAATGGGTAGATGCACTGAAATGCTTTCAGGCAAGAAGCCAACAATCTTCATGCGTTATACAGAAGTGGCAGAGTGATTTTTTTTTAGGGCACACCTGCTTTACATGAAAGAAATTGAATTCCAACTCCATAACTGTCAAGTGCCACGGCAAATAATAGAGCCTAAGCCAAATCATTTCAGCAATATAGCTATTTTCCTGTTGAAGCAATGGAGCAGAAATCAGCCTTAGCTAGATGATATCTTTTCATGTGCACGCTTTGGAAACAGTTCCATTCATCATTTCACTGCTTAATCCCTTTCAAAATCATGTTCCTCATTACCTGGTTAATAAAACTTTGGTCACCTAAGTCAAAACTGTGAAAAAATGTGGATTGTGATTTTGCCATAATTACATAAAAAATCCAAAGAAAATGTAGTAACTACRTTAAATCATTTGAACACTTGCATATAATATTTCTTGCACAACACCACATGCGTAAAGCTGTTTCTCATATAGTCCCACAAGCASCTGAATACTCATTTCTCTTTTGCAGCTCCCAATAGGATGAAGATAACATAACAGCAGGACAATGAAGACATCATTTGGGTATTGGTAATCTGGCAATGTGCACGTTTTTGGAAAGATGTAGTGTGAAGAAATTGTCAATCTTCTCCTTTCTTCCTTCATATAATCACACAGAAGAATAAAAATACCTTACCATACATGAAGAAACGTACCTTTATTTCTGAAATTGTCTGGCATGGCAAGGCTCAAATTCATTTTTTTGTAGCTGTAGTTACAGCATCGTCATAGACTGCACCTGACAACAGCAAAATTTTAAAATGAATATTTTATAAAGATTTTAGTGGCATGTTATTCTTCTTTCATTAAAATTTGGAAGGGACAGATAAATTTCCTCATCTCTTCTCATTTTTTGAAGAAGTATTTAAGCATAATCCAAAGAAAAGAGAATAAATGAGAACCTCAGACAACCGAGGGAAAGACGTCAATAATGTTTAATTAACATTAGCTCCACTCTGTTATATCATGGAGCTAACTGAGTAACTAAACAACTGCAAAAGCCAAATGCTTTAGTTTTCTAAGTTGGTTATATGACAGCAAATATTTAAGATACTGGATTTTACTCCAGTGTTCTGAATCRGAGCTAAGAATATCTTATCTATAGAAAAGTTAGCATTTTGTTTCATCTGCCCCCGAGTTCTTCTTTCCTCTCTGTAAGGATTATTTAGATTGGTTATGAGTRAGCCAGCAGGATTATCAAGGCTCCACGTAGCCATGATACTTTAATCACCAGAGAATTTTATAAAATTAATTAGCTTTTAAATTATATGCTTAGTGAAACACTAGAAAATCTAGGCCCTCCAAAAAAAATCTTAATTTGAAAATTCAGATTTACAGAAATCTACCCTCATCTCATCTAGAATAGGCTACAAGTCAAGCAGCTTGTGAGCTCCAAGTATTTCAACACAGACAAGGGATGGAATAAGAGCAGGAAACCCAGGGCAAGAAGAGGAAAGATTGTAGGAAGGAATAAGGAACCCAACTATAAATTCACTTGGAAATAATCTTGTTATACAGTCACCTCAGACACCTTTCACATTCAGTACAGTAAATCCCAAACCACAGTCTGGGCATTCACACTCTCTTTTCATTTGTCCTCCTGGAAGACTCAAAGCAGCTACAGATCAAAACCACAGAGCCTCAACAGAGGAATGCACAGTAGTTCTGATATTTCTTCCCTCTTTGAGAAGTAACAGACATGGAATAATCACGCAACTAAGTATTTTTTCATTGAACCTTTAGCRCTGCAACAGTGACTAGGTGCAAGATTTGATCTGACTCATACTGTCACATTATAAGAATAAGAGACACTACGAGACCTTTGGATACTGCAAATTAAGTGTTGAAAAAGCTTGGAAAAACTGTTGGTGCTATAACTCACAGAAATAGTCCTTCTCACTTTTTCCCAATCCCTAATAGTAGCAGAATTTTGTTTCCTCTCCACAACTAACTCTGTATATGACAAGAATCTTTTAATTGTATCAATACTGTTTTATAATAAATGACTTCCTATTCCTTATTTCCGCACTTTTTTCTTTCATTTTGTGTTGCAAACTTCTCCAATGTAACTAGTTTACCAAATGCAAAAGAATGCAAATGCAAATTGCACTCACAACTCCTTGAGAATATCATACTGGATGCACACATAGGACCAATCTTGAAAAATAACGGGTATATTTTACTAAATTAAAAAAAAATCTTAATTTCATACTGATCTGGATTACAATTAATAATGTTAATATTAAGTTATGCTTTTCACATTCACTTTAACAGTTCCAGGAAGACATTAACACTAAAGCAGAACATTGGCACCAGATAAGTATCTACAAGATTAAATTTAGGGTGGTAATTATGCCTTTCTTGAAGTACAGCCCCAATCAATAAAAAAGATTTGTATTACCTTGCCTCCATAATATCTACAAGAGACAGTGCTAATGAACCAAACCCCTTGCCAAGATTGGGTTTGGAAGCTTAAAACRGCTTTCAACATCTTACAGCTTCTCCCTGCGCTTCAGGAAGTGCCTAGGACATGTATATACCCAGTGTACATCTCCAGGTATTTTAAGAAAACTAGAAAGTTGTCTAGCTAGCAGTAGTAGATGTGTAGTTGCCTAAAACTAGATCACATCAGCTGAACATTTATTTCTTTGCTTGAGGATGAGCTTTGACACTGACACTTTTCTCTTAGCCACTTCAGCACTTAAGCGATTTTCCTCCTTTGGTCGTTCAATAAACTTTGTTAATAAGCCACTATAGATGATGTCTGCTTATAGATGATAGTGATTATGTTCTTAGCTTGTGTTCTAAATGTGATACAGAAAAAATGTATGAGAAAAAATATTTTCTACATAATTTCATAGGTGCTTTATATCTTGTTGAAAAATAGTCAACTCCTCTGCAAATATAAGTCAACTCCCACCAAGCTTGGTGGCTTGATACTATATATTTATGTGTAACTTTTTKGGGGGGGRAAAAAGAGCACAACATGTCACAATATACATATCAGTATGCATAACAAAATATACGTTTAAGATCACAATTTATACTTCAGGAAACAAATTTATACCCAGGTGCTTTGCTGTAACCTACAACTAGTGTATCCAGACTTGTGTTTAGTTTTAGTAGGTTTCCATTGCACCAGTGCTTGACAGATGGAGAGATGGATGTGATCCCCTGGATCAACTGCAAGGCAGCTTTAGAACAGGAAGGAGGTCTTCACCTTCAGTGCCATAGGAAAATGTCAYTCTGCCTTTTGTGTTGTCTCCTTTCAGCAGCTCAAGCATGGAGAACATGATGTTAGGCCAGTTCCCCAAGGGAAGAGGAAACCATGACATAGGTGACCACACAGGAACTCCTCTTGCAGAGACTGCTTCATCCGCAGTGAAGTCAGGTTCCTCAGACACAGCAAATGCTTCTCTTAATCTTGGTGTTCACCTCTCCGATCTCAGAGTTATGCCTCAGATTTGTTCTACTTTTAAGCTCTTAATGAAGACAAGTTTCTTCTAGGAACACACAGACTGTTCAGTTCCAAATTATATCATAAAATTATAGAATCATTATGGTTGGAAAGACCTTCAAAATTAGCAAGTCCAACCTTAAATCCATAAACACCATGTCTACYAATAATGTTTCTAAGTGTCTCAAATGTATTTATTGAGCTCTTCTGATATGGTAGAATCAGGTTTTCTCTTTCTTCTGTGTTGGAGCCAGTTCTGTTACTTCCCTTCCATCTRACAGATGACCTAACACCTCCCCACTCATACAGTTAACCTAGTCTGGAGCAGCCACTCTATTAAACCTGATCAAAAATGAAGAATACTTCCTGGGGAAAAAAACTAGCTAGACAAATTCTCAGTCTGAAACAGCGAGTAGTTTTATTTTAATGACTGTAATTTTAAGCAAAACGTCTGGACTAATTTTACCCTCTAGATTTTACTCTTCTGTCATGATGGTGCCCCACAGAACCAGCCAGGTTTTCAATTGATTTTTGTGATGTCTTGTTAAGACTTTTTTCCTGTTTAGAARTCTTTTCAGTTTAGACCTGTAAC